TTTTTTTGAGCTATATAACTCCTAGAAATGTCAAAAACTGAAAGAGGAGATAGATTTTTTCTGTAAAAAACTTTCAAAATGACCATTTTTGACATTTTTTCTTCCGGAAAACGACCATACATGAATCCATAACCACTAATTAATTTTTTAAGAATCATTTGAATCACCTTGGAACTCCACAAAATCAGATGAAAAATTCTGAAATTATGGTTTTAGACTTGCAATTGTGATCGCGCCAATTTTTTTTTTCTGTAGATCAAAAATTAATTTGCAGTTCGGAATTGTTCTGTGGGAGAGCGTTCTCTGTGGTATTTTCATCGAAGTTTCCTATTTTTTCTATTAATTTGAGAAGAAAAAACAGGAATTTTCTTTTTTTTTCAATTTAGAGCATATTTTTCAAAAATTTCGAAAAAATTTTTTTTTCCATTTTTTCAAGGATAATCCGAGTTCCATGTCGTCTCTCACTTCATGTTTCCAACCACTTCACCTGCAAATGACATTCCGATTCACAAGATTTAAACAAAATACGAATTTATTAGATGTTTCGAGTAGGGAGGGGACAGAAATATTGATCATCACAAATTTTGCAAGGAAAAACCAAAAAGTTGACAAATTAAAAAGATGAACAAAGAAAGAAAAAACAAGACAAAAACTGGTATAAATGAAGAGAATGTTTGAGAAATAGGGCAACTTATATGACTCTTAATCTGTTCTATTTGGGGGGATAATAGTAATAATTATTCGACAACTTATAGTTAATTAATCTAGAATATAAAGTCAACAATTAACCCGAAAATAAATAGAGACAATTACTCTGTATAGGGAACGAGATACTTGGGGGAAAGATCGGGGAGCAGGGGGGAAGTGGTGAGATGTACGTATTCTAAGGACGCCGCACTGAAGCGGATATGGGGCAATCGGGATAGAGGGGAAGTGACAAGAATTCGCAGGGGAGAGAAAATGCAACTTTTAGCAATAAAACGATCCATCGTGTGGTGGCTCATAATGTCCCGGTGATGTGCTGGAACCACTTGAGTTCGATGGAGGACCATAGTAGGTGGTTGGCTGTGGTGTTGGATACCAAATTGGTTGAACCTGAAAGAAAATAGTTTTTTTTAGATTGAAGGGGAAACCCTATATTTTTTTAACGGAGACTCCAACCAAAAAGTATACCAAAAAATCGAAAAATCTCTTCAAAACACGGAAAATCTTAGTTCTTGTCCAATTGTTAAAGCTTCTGGAAGGTTCTGGAATGGGATTTCGAATGAAGCTTACCGAACTTTTTAGAAGTTCAGAATTGACCTTGTTCAGCGATTTTTTCGAGGTTTTTCGAATTTTTTTTCTTCATTTTTATGGGAATCTATACGATTTTCCGCACAAAATAAAGCAAATTTTGGAAAAAGATATTCTTACCATATCCGGATTATACACAAATTCTGGCGTCGACGCGTTCGACATATTCATCGGAAAATAGTGTGGCGACGGTGACGAGAACGATCCATCCGAGTGTGGAGGCGTCAAATGGTTCGTTTCTTGAATCATAGGAGTCTTCTTTGATCCATTCCTCTTCACTTTCTTCATTGTCTGTCTTCCTCCTTTTGTATTCGCAGACTCTCGATTCTTACAAACACGGCTACGTGGATCTGGTTGTGGTACTTCAGGAAGATAGTTGTTCTTGTTGCTCAAAAACGCCACAACATCGTGATGAAAAGCGTCCTGAGCGTATTGGCTGGCCGTCTTCTCAAAACCATCCACAATGGTGACACTCGCTCCTCGACACGCCAGAATCTTGACACTTTTCAAGTTTCCTTCCTTCGCAGCCAACATCATCGGCGTCATTCCCTTCTCGTCTTGCTTATCCTTATTCGAGTTCATCGTCACCAGGAAATCGACCATCTGCGTGTTATCCGAGAGTGCTGCGTAGTGAAGCGCAGTCCTTCCGTGATACTTATCCGTATCCCTCCGTTCCGATCCATCACAGTCTATCTTTGCTCCTTTTTTCAGCAGAAGCTCAGCCATTTCAGTTCCACCGAAACCTCCAGCAGTCATCATCAGTGCCGTTCGTCCATTCCGATCCAACTCGTCAATCTCGTCAACCATTCGAGGATCCCTCAGCAAGTTCGTCATCATTCGAACATCCCTGTTAGCTGTGGCTTCGTGGAGAGCCGATCGTTCGGACTTATTGAAGATTGTTGGATTCGCGCCTCGTTTCATCATAAGTGACACCAAGCGAACTCGCCGTGCACGAACCGCGAACATCAGAGGGGTGTCCTCGTTGAAGTCCCGAGCATTGACATCAGCTCCAGCGTCCAGGCACTTGAGACACTCTGATGTAATCTGATCCTCCGGTTTTCCATTCGAATTACCAGCTATCCAATGGAGAACCTGTCGACGATAAATCGTATCCGTAATCTTAACAGACTCGGCGGTGATCGGCTCGGTTATTGGGGCAGAGCTAGCGGCTTGAACGTGGAGAGTAATGTGCTCCGGACGAAGGATTTCTTCTGGGATATCAGCAGGAACCGCATAATCTCCAATGACTCCATTCGCCAGCGTCCTGGGATAAATCTCTTGATATAATCCACCATCCGAATAATCGACACGTGGCTTTTTGGCTGCGTTGACGTGGTGCATACTGTGTTCCAGAAGAGAGCTTTGACAGAGCAACGACTCCATCGGAGGAGGCATCCATACCGGCGCGTGGATGATCCGTCGCTTCCGACTTCTCTCGGGTTCTCCGGCTCGAACAACGACTCCAGCGACGACAGTTCCTAGCGCTAGGAATGCGACGAGTGCGATTAGAAGGATTTGGTTTCGAGACCAGCTGACAGGTCCTTCGTGTCTTCTGGGAGCGGCTACCATCGCTTCAGTGATGGAGAATCCTAGAGATTGGCGACCCTGGAAGATAGTGGATAAATTTATGATTCTGGAAACAAGAAAAACTCACATTCGATTTGATCAATCCAGCTGCAATCAAATTCACAACGCTCTGAGCAGTGGAGAATCGACACGTGGATTTTGGCTGACATATCTCCTCCACCTCAAGATACAAAACGACTCCAACGATTCCAACATTCCGATATCTTCTGATATGATGGGAGAGTACTTTCTGTTGCTCCAGCTTCTCCGCGTCCATCTTCAGTCTCTCCGTCTCCGACTCTCCATCCCATTTGAACACCAGCGGTCCCGATTCGTCCTTCTGAATTCGTACGGCCGCTCGAAGTTGCGTACTAATCTCCATCAGAGTTTCTCCTCCAGTCTCTCGGAAAACCAATGGATCGATTTGAATTACGATTCGGATGTCATTCAGAATCATGGCTCCTGTTCCATTATTACAGTCACCACCATCGAAACCACATCCAACGAAGCTACACGCGTAGTCACATTCTCCATTGCCACGCTTTTTGATACAGTAGTCTCTGATATATTCCGGACAGTGGTAGAGTTCCGATTGGCAATCCATCCCATCGTAGAGACATTTCTCGTTGTTGCACTCTGGATTACAGATTCCGTCTGCAAACGAACGGGCGCATTTTGCAGGGTACATGCATCTGGAGAACGGTTGTTGTCCTCCGGAACAGTCTCCACCGTCGAACTGACACTCTGCATAGTTACAGTCTTCATCACAGATTCCATTGCCCGCCAGAGCTTTGCAATTCTTCTTCTTGCACAGTTCACGGAACATACTGAAAATAAGATTTCTGATTTACAAGCTCATTGATAAAAAACACTAACATCTCCTTGCTCTTATCGATTTCAACCTTCTCCTGACACCTGGTTCCAGTGTATCCGTACATGCACTCGCAGGTTCCATCGGTTCCATTGCACACTCCACCGTTTTTACAGGGGTTTTGCTTGCAATCGAGTCGTTCCATGATCTCACAATAATCTCCGGAGTATCCAAGAGGACAGGCACAAGTCATGGTGTTGTTATCCATTCGACAGAATCCACCGTTGGCGCACGTCGTTGTGGCACATCCTGAAAATTTTAGAAGAGTTAGAACTCCATTTTTCTCAAAGCACTTACGCAATCGTCGATCACAATTGAGTCCGTAGAATCCAGGTGGACAAATGCATGCGTATCCATCACCATAGTCTACACATTTTCCATCGTTCATGCACGGATTGTGATCACAGGACACTTCCATTGGGAGCACCGCCGTCCGATTGAGTTCGCATCGATCGCCGGTGAACGACGGAGGACATTTACAGAATCCACCATTGCACACGCCTCCGTTATAGCACATTCCATTGGTCCGTGAGCAGTGAGGACGATCCAGGAGCAATGAGCAATTATATCCACCTTTGCCGGGTGGACACGCCTTCTCGCACTTCTGTCCCATAAATCCTGGAGGGCAGGAACAAACTGGAGTCTGATCCGGGAGGTGGTCGCACGATCCTCCATTTTTACACCCGTACGATTCACACATGTTTACTGGATGCTGACAGTTGGTTCCAGTGAATCCAGGCTTACAGGCACAAACGAAGGATCCTGCGAGATTGTAACATGTTCCATGGGCACCACACATGTCGCCTTGAAGACACTCATTCTTATCCTTCGTGCAGAATTCTCCCTCGTATCCCTCGTCGCATTGACACTCGAAACTCTTATCAGCGGAGAACGTGTCGATGCATTTTCCATGGTTACAGATGCCTTCTCCCATCAGTGTGCAATTGGTGATCTCACAGAATGCACCGCCTCTTCCTGGTGGACACGCACAGATGTATCCGTTCACATTGTTCACACACTGTGATCCTGTCTTGCAGTTGTGATTCACGCAGTGATCCTTTCCGATTTCACAATACGATCCGCCGAATCCATCGTTGCAAATGCATTGGAATCCGCCGGAGAACGGGAAGCACTTTCCATTGCCACATGGCTCGTTCAGGCATGGATTCTCCTCAGACGTCAGTTTGTTGGCACAGTTTGGTCCTGAAAATTGAAGTTTTTGGAAAATTTCGATCAAATTTGAATCATTTTTCGCCGGAAGTTTGTTTTTTCTTCTCGTTTTTTGTTCCGATTCCTCGAATTCACACCTCATTAAATCGCCGCGAACAAAGTGACAAAAAACCAAATACCGTAGCGCACATGAGAGAATTTTTGGAAATTTTTTTTGGCTGATTTTGAAATTTTTTAATTCTAAAAATATCATTTTTCGACCTCGAAAATATCTCAAAAACCGGCCTTTTCCCCCCGAAAATCGCTCAACGGTAATTTAATACTCCTTCTCAAAATTTTTCGAAAATTGAGACTCATGTGCTTTTAAATGGTTACGGTATTTGAATTTTTGTCATATTTGGCGATTTTTGCACAGAACAAGGAAACGAAAGGAGAAAAATACAACAAAAATTAGATTTCCGGCGAAAAATGTTCCGAAATTTTTGTCTCGACTGTCTGCGTCTCCTCGATCTCGATCTCTCTCACCTCCAAATCCTTTCGGACAGATCTTCTTGCCATTCGGGTCGCAATCTGGAAAAATTTGTCAATTTTTTTCATTTTTCCCATAACCCTATTTTGATTTTTAGGGTTTTTAGGTCAAAACCGAACATTGGGTAATAAATCGCGACCAATTAATCAGTTGTTTTGGGAGAGCGGGGCCGCGCCATCCCTAAAAATTGATGACCGTCGATTTGTTATACCTCGAAGAATTATTATGTGACCAGTCGCGTGCATATTAGACCTAATTTTTCGAATTTTCGACAAAATTCCCACCGGAAAAAAATTCGGGCGGCACAAAATCAAAAAGACCAAAAAAGACACTCTTATGATGGATGACGCAATTCTCTACGCCGCCAAAAGGAGCGGCAGCTGCAAAAATTCAAAATCCGCTGTACCTTTGCAAATGCAACGTGGATTCTTCCCAAACGCATCAAATCCGCACTTCTCGTCGTCGTCACACTGCAGACTGCACTCCTTCTCGCAGTACTCGCCACCGTATCCGTTGTCGCATCTGGAAAGAAAAAGTTAGATGGGGGGGGGGGGGTTGTAAATTATATGTGTATGCTCTTGTTGTGTTGTGCTAATCAAATTGGCAGTGTCACCATAAAAAAGATACCGACAGAGCTGCGAACCTGGCTGTAAAACTGGGGGAGTTGTAAAACAGGTAGCCATAGGAAAAACCGTCGGAAACCCAACTTTTTTGAATTTGGCGCCAAATTCCGGGCGTTTAAGCCGAAGCCTAGAACTTTCAAAAAAAAAATCTTTGAAAAAAGTGAAAATTTCGCTGATTTTCTCGAATTTCAGCAATTTTTAATTGATTTTTTATTCAAAATTCTTCGAAATTTATAGGCCCAGGCCGGAATGACTTGTTCCCCTTCCACTGGGACATCCGAAAAAAAACGCCAAATTAAAAAAAAATTCGGCCAAAAATATCATTTTGTGAGCTAAACTACAAAAACTCGCTTTTCGCCAGCTCAAAAATCCGAAAATTCTCCAAAAATCGCTATGCTTCTGGCCCTCTAATCAGCTTCATTTCTACTCACTTTCCCCCAAAAAACCCACATAAACCTCCCCCAGTATCTTTTCCACCCGTTCCTTCTCCCCAAGATTTACGATATTCCTAAGTCTCCTGCTGTTCGTCGTCCCCCGATAGCCGTCAAGCAGCACGGAATTGAAAATCGGAACTTGAAAATCGGAAATTGAAAATCGGAATTTCTAATGAAGAAGAAGAAAACAAGGGCGGTCAATTTGGAGAGACAATACGGGTATCAAATCGACAAAATATCGGGGGTTGGGATCTTGAAAATCTAAATTTTGAGCTGAAAATCCATTCGACACCTTCAAATTCCAATGTAGGACTTTCCCATGGCCAAGGAACACCTGCCACAACTTCCTGTTTCATTTTTTTGTTTTGTTTCCCTGGCATGGTTGATGGGAACGACATGGGAAAGGATTCAGGAGCGCAAGGTAGCCTAGAAGTGGACTTTTGATTTCTACACAATTGATTTCTACACAATTCCGCTGGACTGGATTCTTACCTGCACCAATATCCGTTCGCTGCCTCCTCATCCATACACTTTCCGTGCGGTGCACACGTGTCGCCATCCGAACACGATCCGCCGATGATCTGTGCCAGAGATCCGGAGCTGAGGAGCAGCAGCAGTGATGGTAGTAGCCAAAATCCTCGCATTTTTATTGAGATTTATGATCTTGAGATTCGAGTTTTATTAGTATTGACAGTGGTTATTGTACATGAATCTGCAATTTTAAGAGATTTTTAGAAGAGAAGACGTTCCGGAAGAAATGAGGAAACGAGAAAAAACGACGAGGATAATGAGAATGACAAATGGGGAGATGGCGACAGTGGCTGGTGGCATTCTCCGCCCACTTTCTGGGTGGCGAGGAAGTGAATGGGCGGTCGAAAAACGTCGAAAAACCTCCCTTTCTCGAGAAAAAACGGAGAAAAAAACGAACAGGAATTCCTCAATGATTACATTATTTTATTGCCCAAAGACTATCTAAGTGTGGGTTTTATGGGCTTTCCATTGATCATTTCCGTGGAGAAAGCAGGATATTAGCGAGAAAAGTACAAAAAAGGCCTAAAAGCGAGAGAAATGGCTTGAAACCTAATTTTTCGCGGGTTTGAAATTCAAATTCTCCTGCTTTGGCGCTGCTGAAAACATTTTCGTACGCAGTACGCAAAGCCAAAATTGCTTACCGTACCACTGCAGACAGTAATCCTTTGAAATTTTTCATGATTTTTTTTGATATATTTATCGAATATTTGCCGTTCAAAGTGGCTGTTAACTGGAAAATGTTTGCCAAAAATACAAAATAAAATATATAAAATACAGTATTCTCACCAAACAAATAGTTTTTTATTCGAATACAGACATGTTTATACATCATGAAAAATAAATATTGCCGGCAGCGCATCTGATAATCTGATAAACGAAAGAAAAAAGGACAAAAAAGCCGAAGTGCTAAATCGATCAAGATGGAATAATTTTTCTCCGGGGAAGTATATGAATACGCGTACCTAGACATGTAATGTTTTTATTTTGAGAAGGGCTATGTTTTGTTTTGTAAGGGGAGGTGGGTAATGCATAATATATGTAAAAAAAAACATTTGAAATCACAACAAAAATTATGAGAAGTCTGAAGAAGTTGTCAAGGTCGTCGGACTACTTCCAAGACAAATTCTGAAAAAATATCTGAAAATCTGAATAAAAAATTATTTTCACTATTTTCAGAGTTTTTCCTCAAAATTTGTTTCAAAATTTGTGGATTTTTTTAAACTTATTCAATTTATCACCATTAACCTTTTAACAATTCCTGATTTTTTGCAATTCTTCAAGAAAAAAAAATCAAATTCAAACTTCCCTCCATTTTCTCCCGCAACGATGCTCCGCGATCCCGCTTGCGCGTTGTTTAGCGGATCACTCGCCGAGTTTTCACCGGCTTATCAGCCAACTTTCCATCAAACTTGTTGTCAGTTTTTTATGATTTCAACGATTTTCAGAATAAAGAATATCTTTAAAATCTGATTTTCTTATTAAAACCCTTGTAAATTTGATTTTTAGGCCGTTTTGTTCATCTGAAAATTAGCTTTTTAATTTGCACTGCTCCAAGCTCAAATTTCAGTTTTTTTAGTATTTTTTCTTTCAGTAATGTTTCGTCACGTAGCTCAAAATTTGGGCTCTAAGAGCACCTCTATTCAGACATGTGAGTTTGATGGCTTGTTTCAAAGAAAAACTCTAAATTCTTAAATTTCAGGCCGCGGTTTGAGAACTCGCTGGGAGCGCGGATACCTCAAGGATCTTTACCACCGTCGTCAGATTCTCGGAGCCGATCCTGAAGTTTCCAGATCTTCCTATCCAAATTGGTGAGTTTTATATTTGACAAAAATGTGTTCCTAACTTGTACGAAAGCCAATTTCCCTCTCTAAATGTGCAAATTTATTCAACATGCTTGATATTAAAAAAGCTGTTGAAAAGTCGTTTTCTAACCCATATCCATAGCTCGGTGCAAGTGCGAAATCATCACTGCGCTGGTGACAAATTCACTCAACAATGGGCACCTATCAAAACTGGAATCGACAATTCTTCCGACGATTTTTCCGCTAACAACTCGGAAATGAAGGTTCTCGTGGACGATTTGAAGGCGAAAATCGCTAAAATCGAACAAGCAGGAGGAGAGAAAGCAGTGAAACTTCATAGAAGCCGTGGAAAAATGCTCGCCAGAGAGAGAATCGATGGGCTAGTCGATTCTGGATCTCCATTCCTCGAGTTTTCTCAACTCGCCGGTTATGAGGTAGGACCCTTCTTTCTAGTGCGATATTGATAATATGCTTTCAGATGTACGGAAAAGAAGAGGTGCCATCCGGTGGAATTCTCACTGGAATCGGAATAGTTTCCGGAAGAGTCTGTGTGATTGTTGCCAATGATGCTACAGTTAAAGGAGGAACCTACTACCCAATCACCGTTAAAAAGCATCTTCGTGCTCAGGAAATCGCTCGCGAGAACAATCTTCCATGCATCTACCTCGTCGATTCCGGAGGCGCCAATTTGCCACGTCAAGCTGATATTTTCGCCGACAGTCAGCATTTTGGACGAATTTTCTATAACCAAGCGACCATGAGCAGTCAAGGAATCCCTCAACTTGCAGTTGTAATGGGAAGCTGTACTGCTGGAGGAGCCTACGTTCCAGCTATGTCTGATCAAGCCATTATTGTAAAAGGAACCGGAACTGTGTTCCTTGGAGGACCACCACTAGTCAAGGCTGCTACTGGAGAGGAAATTTCAGCTGAAGAGCTCGGTGGAGCAGATTTGCATTGTGGAGAATCGGGAGTAACTGATTATTATGCTCATAACGATCAACATGCGCTCTACTTGGCTAGAAGTTGTATTGCTGGACTTCCACCAGTCGAGGAGCAGATGACCTTCAATCCTAATGCTGATGAGCCACTATACCCAGCTGATGAAATCTACGGAATCGTTGGTTCCAACCTCAAAAAGACCTACGACGTCCGTGAAGTCATCGCTCGTATCGTCGACGGCTCCAGATTCCACGAATTCAAGGAGCGGTACGGAGAGACTCTCGTCACAGGATTCGCCACAATTTACGGTCAACGTGTCGGTATTCTCGCGAATAACGGAGTGCTATTCGCAGAGAGTGCCATGAAGGGAGCCCATTTCATTGAACTATGCTGTCAACGGAAGATTCCACTGCTTTTCCTTCAAAATATCACTGGATTCATGGTAAACTTCGCGGAATTTTGGGATCTTTATAACTAGCTAGATTGCAGGTCGGAAGAGACGCCGAAGCCGGTGGAATCGCCAAGCATGGAGCTAAACTTGTTACGGCGGTGGCATGTGCCAATGTTCCAAAGATTACAGTGTTGGTTGGAGGATCCTATGGAGCTGGAAACTATGGAATGTGTGGAAGAGGATATAGTCCAAGGTAAGACTTGTGTGAAAAAGAAGCACCTATGTAGCAGGCACAACAACCTCACGACCTAAACTGATAATGAGCACTCGATTAACATGCAAATTGAATTCAGATACGTGTTCATGTGGCCAAACTCTCGAATCTCTGTAATGGGTGGTGAGCAAGCGGCGAACGTGTTGTCGACAGTTCAAAAAGAGAAAAAGAAAAGAGAAGGAGCCGAGTGGACGGATCAACAGGACCAGGATCTTCGCAGGCCTGTTGAGGAGAAATTCGAGAAGGAAGGACACCCGTATTTCGCGTCCGCCCGTCTATGGGATGATGGAGTTATCGATCCAAAGGATACGAGAAAGGTTGGTTAAAGGAGGCGAGACAGCAAAAATTTCGGGGGACAGTTTGGGGGACGAAATCGCGGCGCGCTTATGTAGGCCATCGGTCGGCAGGCGCCTTCGCGCACCCCGTAGCTCAGCCGGTAGCGGCGCTGTACCCCTGAGCTGCCGGTCATGAGTTCAACTCCTCATGGGGGTTCTCTAGGCAAAATATCAGAAAAACTTTTTTAAATGTCTGGCCCCCTTTAAGGACATTGGAATTTTAGGTCTAATGCTGCGTTCAAAACTTTCAAATCTGGGATTTCTGGGCTCGGAAAGCAGTCCAAACCGTTGTCCAGATTCCAAAAAGGTGTACGGTCTCACTGGTTTCAACTGCGCGAATTAGAAATTATGAGGATCTAGGCGTCAATTTGGAATTCTTTCTGGGCACAGAAATCCCAGATTTGATCCCATCGGAAGCGGCATAAACATCATGAATTCTTCAAAACTATGTAAATATATAATTTTTTCCAGGTCCTCGGCCTCGCCTTTCAATCCACCCTTCAAAAGCCGATTCCTGACACCAAATTCGGTGTTTTCCGCATGTAAACCCCGCCCACTCCTATCGTTGTGAGATTCTTCGATTTTACGGATTCCCTCCTCAATCATTTAAAGTAGAGCTTTTGTCTGCGGTACGGTCAAACTATGTAGATTTAGATTTTTTTGTTTTTTGCTTTTATCATTTCCGAGTGCCTTTGTTATCTTTTAGGAATTCAATTATTGCTTCTTATATAAAGAATAAAACATTTTTATTATTTGTCCTCTGATTCTCTCTGATTCACTGATTCGTCACCCTTTGATTTTTTTTTGGTTTTGTTGCTGTAAATGATTCACCACAAAATATGATGCACACTTGAGAAATTGGCTTTCGCACTAGGAGAAAAATTGGAAAATTAGTATAGAAACAACGAAAAAATCAATGAAAATGTGCACATTTTTCAGGGACTACAACAGCGAACTCTTCGCATTCGGCCATCGAATCGGAGCACCGGAGATCTCGGAAAACGATTATGTCAAGGTTTGTGACGATTTTTGATTTGAAAAATCTAAAAACTGGTTTTTCGAAAATACGAAATTCCTATTTTTCATCGATTATCCGGTTTTAGAGGATTGGAAATTTCGAAGAAATCCCTCTTTTTGAGATCAAAAGTCTGAAATATCCAATTTTCGAAAATCGGAAAATTATATTCTATAAACTCTAGAATTTTCTAACTTCCAGGCTCTAACCAACGAATCCTTCTTCAAGAGAGCTGACGTGGAACAAGACGTGGAGCGAGCTCAGCCAGGAGCCGAAATCGGCTCAGAACACAATGGAGACCTAGTGAGAAAAGGAGAAGAGAAGCTGTCCACGTGGCTGAAGAGATATCTGAGATTTCATTTGTCGAAAGCGCCAGAAGAATTGATTGAAGCCGTCGATTCGCATCTTCTGGATGATGAGTGTTTGGCTGGAATCGCTAGTCATCTTGGTGAGATTTTCTAGAGTTCTTTTGAGAATTTCAAACATTTAATTTTATTTAGGAATTGACCATCTCGTGCGAACCAAAGAATTCCCCGTAAGCCAACAATCGTCAGCCGATGCTTTCCGTGCTCTCGCCGGCGTGTTTTCCGATGAAAAAGTCAAGAATCTCGTCATCGATTTCATTGTTCCGCAACTTGTTGATATTGATTTTGCTGACATCTACTCCCTTGCCGATCCTCTCGCCGTCCTCACAGACATCCTCAAATCAGAAGGCGTAACTGAAATCGAGCCACGTCTTCTAAGATCCGCCGGAGAGAACAGTGCAGAGCCGATATTCGTGGCGGCCATTTATGCGGATAAGAAGAGAAATGTGGGACAGAGTGCCGGAGAATCAACAGCGATTGCTGTCGATATGGCCGCTCGAGAGGCGTTGTTGAGACTTTGGGATATTACTTCTGACAAAGTGCTCTTCTTTGGAGATCGTGCCGCAAGTGTACCATTGGAACAGTACTCACAACCAAACTACTCATTGACCAAGAAATGCTCACCAGGGTATGCTTTTGCAAATTTGGAGTATAAATTGCAGTGTACAATCGGAGCTGTGGAAGAAAAACGGCGGTGACCGTGGCCGAAGGTCCCACTGCGACAACTACCGTAACCTGAAAATAATTTTTCAAAATTTATTTTCTCCATTTCCGTGCGATTTCAGTCAAATTTTTCACTAATTTCAAAAAGAAAAATAACAGAAAACTCGATGAAAAGTAGTGAAAATTTGAGTAAATATATTCGCGAAATCAAAGTATTTTTAGGTTACTGTAGTTTTTGTTGTGGGACTTTTGGTCATAACCATCGACGTTTCTCTGTTACGTCTTCGGTTTTTTGTACGAGAATAATACTATGCTATATATATCCGAAGGCTCCGCACGAAACTACCGTAACCTGTAAAAATTAAAAATTAACTGTTTTTTCCTTGTTTTCACTGTTTTCCGTCGATTTCCTAAGAATTTTCCCTGTATTAATCGGAAAAGAACATATCTTAAATACGAAAATTGAGAAAAATCTGGAAACTAAAACCAAAAATTTTAAGTTACGGTAGTTTTCGTTCCGGGATCTTCAGCCACGGCCGGCCAAGTTTGTCTTCCACAACTCTGATTTTTTAACGTTTTGGCGGCTTTGAAACTCTTTTTCTTATTTTGGAGAAAAAGGAAAATTCCTTCAATTTCGCAAGTTTTCACTAGGCTCATTCTGGTAATTTGTGTCAATTCATGGCTATTCTAGGTACTTTGAATCCATTTTAAAGTTATTTAGAGTCCGTTTCAGACCTTTTTCAAGCCGAAATTTCGGCTAAAGTTGGGATCATTCTAGGCTATTTTTCGGCTATTTTCGGGCTGATTAGGGTCAATTTTCTTTTCATAAAACACGATTTTCCAGAACAAACACCTCTCTGCTCTCCGATTCAACGACATCCGACCCAACTGACAACCTAATCGAAGACGCCGTCCTCCGATACCGAAACGTCGTCGACGCAGAAGTGGGAAAGAGTTATACGAAGCGATTGCGACACAAATTCTCGCGTGGTTCTCTTGCAAAACGCTCATTCAGATATCTCGTCAAACCGAAACCCTATACTGTTGCTTAATTCCTTTCTAGATCTTTTCTTCAATGTTTTTGTTTCTGTTAAAATAGCGAGTAGTGTGTGTGAGAGTTTTATTTTGTTATACTCTATTTTTCTGTTACTCCCTTTGACTTGTATACAACGAGAAGTGCCTCAAAATGAAGAAGTCGTAATCCCCTTTGACCCCCCAAATTAGCTCACTTCAGTAGAAATTTAATTTGAATTTGTAATGATCTTGTTGTTCTCTTTCTCATCCCTTCTCTTCTTTCTTCTTGTTGCTCTTTGTCCCTTCGGCCATTTGATAAATGATGGCCCTTTTCCCCCTCTCCGCCAGATGGACTCATTTATCTAAGCTCCCCAAGAGCAAGAAGAAGAAGAAAAAGAAGAAGAAGAGATCGATTCCCTTGATAACATAACTTTTCCAGCTTCCCGATGGGAATTCGTATTGTTTATAAGAGACTGGAAATTTTGTGAAAATAGAGAATTGGAATATAAACATAGAGAAATTGGATAGGTGGTTTTGTTTATCAATTCATCAAAATAATCATGGAAAAATTGTAAACGAATGGAATGGAATTGGTGGACTTTGGACTTTGTGGAAGAAGATGATCGAAAATCGGGAATATACGATTTGCGAACTTGGATCGTATAGAATAGTATCCTGGTACAAAAAACCGGAGCTGTGAAAGAGGTGATCGTAACCGAAGGTCTCACCACGACAACGACAACTACAGTAACCTAAAAATAATATTATTTTCCGAGTTTATTTTCTCGTTTTTCACAGCTTTTCTGCTAGAAAAATCGGAAAAATGGCACATTTAATAGCGAAAAAAATTGACTGAAAACGGACAAAAATCGAGAATTTAATTAAAATAAAAATATGTTTAGTTTACGGTAGTTGTCGTTGGGGGACCGTCACGGCCACCGGCATTTCTCTTTCTCAGGTTTTTTTTATTTGTATACTTTTGAAAAACTTCTGCTCCCAATCAAACCATTTTTCAGAATAAGTGCCGGAATACCATATATGTATCGTAGTAGAAGCGCCCTGTTGACGGTTTGGTCTTTTAGAGTGTTTACGGTATCTGAAAATCCATCAGAGTTTTTTCCAATTTTTGCAATTCTCAGAGTTGGAGAATGTTTCTTGCACTCTTCCCCTCTCTCTGATCTCTACATTTTCATCCAACCAACTCCAGAACTTTCTTTGCTATCATCTTTGTATCTTTTCTTATCACCCCAATCACCTTCGACCCCAATTCATTACACTTTGATTATCTTGTGCAAAACCTGATCTGGATGATGAGCTCTTTTAAAAGTTTTCGCTATGTTTTGAACATTTAAAACTTTAGACTACAAACCACAGAACTTCTCATATTTCTTTCTTCGTCTCCTTCGTTCAAATGGCTCCATCACGTGATGCTTTGGTTAACAGAAAGCACAAAAAATAGGAGGAATCAGTGTAAAGATGAATCATTGGAAAAGAAGAAGAGACATGGATTTCAATCAAAAGTGCAAAACTTTTACCACCAGAAGAAGCCAATTGCTCGGGTCAGATCGTAGAATGTTCGATGAAGAGATAGATTTTCAATGAAAAGAGATGATTGGTACCAGGTGCTACATGATACTGCGATTTTCATGACGGATATTCGATCAATCGAGCACGGAAATTGATCGAAAAGATACCACGAAAATGCACTTTTAATTGAAAACGCGGATAAAAAAGTAGGCATTTTCATTAGTGGACTCCCATTGAAAAATTGGGAGCATTGGCTAAAACAGAAGATCACTCTAAACTTGAGCAATATTATCTCAGTTCCTGTCAAAGGTATCAGAAAGTGGCCAACTGATAAATTGTTTATCATAATATCAAAAATGTTTCTTCAATTGACAAATTTGGCACTCTTCTAGAATTACGGAACGAAAAAAAATCACGGAACGAAAAATAAAATCACGGAACGAAAATTTTGGGTAATTCAAAAAAATTGCTATCTTCTTTACTTTGACAAGTAGTATCCGTAATACTAACTTTGGCATCAATTTTACTTTTCCCAATACCCAAAGTATACTAAAAAGGGTATATCAATTTCTTGAGATACGCTAGTTAACAGGTAACATAGGACCTGTAGAACATCTGAAAACTCAGTTTAAAGTTACATCGAGTAGTTATTGAGCTTGCTGACATTTCAGGGTGTTCCAGGTAAAAGAAGCATGGCGTTTCAGCCTAAGCCTGTTGTTGAAAAAAGCTTTCTCAATCCAAAAATATCATCGAATTTTTGAAAAATGAAAAATCCGAGGCAAGAAATTTCATGCCACGATTTCTACTCAATTTGGCCCAAGACTATTCTTATTCCGGACCAAGATTTTGTTCCAAAAAGACTAATTTTGAATTAGAAAAGATTTCTTCAATTATAGGCTTAGGCTGAACCATCATGTTTCCTTCATGTGGGACACCCAAAAAAACCACGGCAAGTTTAATAACTCTGCTTGTTGCAGCCTCTAATCTAACTCTCATATGCCCCATGATCCTCAGAACATCTGCGAAAGGTCTTATATAACCTATTAATCATGTACACTATCAACCAGTGTACCTTAAGGACTCAATATACCACATTTCGGGTGTCATTTTGGATACTGAGCAAAGAAAATGTAATGTCAAAGTTAGATTTCAGGATAGTACTTGAATGAAGGTCCTAGCAATATTTGGATTACCCAAATTTTTCGTTCCGTGATTTTATTTTTCGTTCCATGATTTTTTTTTCGTACCGTGATTTTTTCGTTCCGTGATTTTTCGTTACGTGATTTTTTTTAGATCCGTGATTCTAGAAGAGTGCCACAAATATTTGATATCTTGCATAGAAAATGAGATACTTGAGCTCAAACTTGCCAATGTGGGGGCCCTTCTGTTACAGGTTTTACGGTATCTGTGAGTGGACTGTGGGTGGATTTTGGTCCAAACTTCATGGGACACGCTGAAATTTGCAGGTTGTCCTATAAATATTGAATGCTTGAGAATGTGTTCTTTGGAGGATCTGAAAATATCATTTTCTCTTCTGGGGGTATTCTTCGATATTTCTCCTGCTTCTAAAACTCCGTGCTTAATTCAAAACATTTTATAGAAGGACTTTAGCTTTAACTAGATTTAACTTGCTTTCTGTAACAGTTAGCAAAAAGTAGTCAACTGACCAAGTATTTCTGGTACTGCTAATCATTTTGTCAGTTGATCACTTGTGGATCTTTTCCACAGGAACTGAGATAAATTAGGTCGAAGTTGACAGTTCAGGGAACTTTTTATTACCGGGTTTACAGTAGATGCTCCAATGGAAGCTCACCCTTTACATGTACTTCAAGCTCAATTATCTCGGTTCCTTCAAAAGGTACTATAAAAGTTTAAACTGATAAAGTGCTTATCATAATATCACCAACACAGTATCAGTTGACAGGTTTTTTATATCTCTTATAGGAACCGAGATGATTGAGCTCAAAACTACGACACTGATTTTCATCAAACTTGGGAGTGTCTGTGGAGCATCGGTAAACTATAGAAGTAATAAGTTATTTTTTTCAATTTTACTTGGTTCAAAAAACCTCAAATCGAACTACCGTATACCTCTCTTTTCTACTTTGCCCTTTACCCCCATTGATCACCCCGTAATCCTTCTTCTCCTTCAAACTCATTTTCTTCCCAAGTACTTTGCTCCTTGATACCATAATGTTTCTCTTCACAACAACACCCCCAAACAACAACAACAAAGCCATCTCCATTTCGTTTTCCAAAATGTCTTCTTTGTCTTTAGAACCAACCGACATTTGCATCCAATGTGCCACTATTTGAAAAAGATGGCCATCTGGGATTGGGGAAGACCAAACTTCAGTTACTGGTTAAGAAGAAGAAGAAGACCAGATTGTTGCAGAAAGATGGGAAAATCAGAAATCACATAATAAAAGTGGAGTTTGGTAGCTAAAGAATCGAAAATCTGGATAAATTTATTTGGGAGAGAAACATGAAACTTCCGTCGATGTAGTCAAAGGTTAAATTTACAATTGCTTTTTGAGCTCAATAATGTAGGTTCCTGTCAAAGATACAAAAAATTTTTACTGATAAAACGTTGATGATATATGATAAATATTTTATCAGTTAAACACTTTTTGATATCTTTCATAGCAACCGTGATATTTGAGCTTAAAGTCCAAGTACTGGTTATGGCTTTATTAGCTTGTCAGCCATCGACCGTAAGGTTTAAGCTCAATTATCTCGGTTCCTGTGAAAGAAAGCAAAAGTTTGTCAATTAATAAAATATTGATGAGACTATGAGAAACATTTTATCAATTGACAGCTTCATGATATCTCTTGAAGGAAGCGAGATAATTGAGCTCAAAGTTGAGTGGGGTCCTATTAGAGATACCACGGTAATTGCCAGTTCAACTAGGTTAGGCTTCTGAAGCTCTCGACTAGCTTGATATTTTTGATCAATATTGGATAGAGCGATTTTTTAATTTTGAATGAGAAGAAATAATTGCAAGAAAAAACAAGGTTTATTTAAGAAGATGATAAAATCCAAAAAGCATAATTATAGGCGAAATTTAGTTGACGTATTGTCCGACGATGGCTTGAACCTTCTCGTCTGAAAAAGAGAAATTAATGGTTGATTTCCAGCTACTTTAATATTCCAGTCCACCCCTCCCCCTTCCTTTTAACCCAATCCGAACTCACTTTGGAAGAATCCGGTGAGAATTGGGAACTCGGCGGTGATGGTGGCCTTGGCGTCATCAGAAAGAGCCTTGTACTCAGCAATGTATCCCTTGGCCAATTCCTTCAACTCGTCAAGTCCTGGCTTATCTCCAGCAAGGTATTGTTGATGGAGTTCACGTCCCTTGGCGATGATCTTCTTAACCAAAGCTTGAGCGGAGGCGTCCAACTTGTCGAACTTGGCAGTCAAAAGAGTCTCGAGCTTTCCAGCCTTCTCGTAGAGCGATGGGGACTTCTCCTTGAGAGCGGCCTTGAATTCCTCCTCGGTCTTGTATTCCTTGTAGTTTTGGGCGAGTTCCTTGAGAGCAGCCTTCTCCTCAGCGGTGATGGCCTTGAGGTGTTCAGCGACTTCAGCTGGGATAAGTCCCTTGTACTCGGATGGAATGTCGTCAAAGTTCTCTGGAACCTCTGGGATTGGGGCCGAGAAGACGGCGACGGTGGCGAGGGCCAAGACAAGGAAGGCGCGGATCATTACTGAAATTTTTAAGTTGATTGTAGAATTGAAGAGGGGTTGAAGAGAAAATTTAAGAAAGGTCCAGAAAACCAGCTAGGTTTGCTAGCTAAGAAGCTTTAGCTCTGCAAGATCCAGTGTGACATATCCTCCACTCTACCGACCGTTCTTTTATACTGCTCCAGGTGAATGTTTGAACATCTCCGCCCATTCGAAATAGCACACTGATCCGTAGAGAGTCGGATTCTGAATCATCTGAAACATCACATCTTTCCCAGAGACGCAGCACCCATTTCCAGTACAAAAAACCGTTAGTGTAATGAATTTTGAGGAATGTTGCTTTTTTTGATATCGCTGTCCGTTGGTTGCCTTCAAACCCTTCGGAGCCAACTGTCTCCCCCCTTCAATTTCCCTCGTCCACACTATCTCGCTGGCTCCGCCCATTTTTCTCAAAAGTATCTGTCGTCTCTTCAACATCCCATATTCTATCAGTTTATATTGTAAACTCTCTGGGGGTCACCCATTAGCACCGCCCCTCTTTTCGTCTGTCTTTAAAAGCGGCACTCTGAAGAACAATGGGTCATTCAATCCATTTTTCTTTTGCTTGGAGAGCCCTCTTCTTGAAACTTCTCCCCAAAAATCCCCCGAATTTCCCTCAAAAATCTTGAAAATTTTCAGTAATGATCCGCGCCACTATCGTCTTCGCCTGCTTGGCCGCCGTCGCCTTCTCCGCTCCAATCCCAGAGGTTCCAGAGAACTACGAGGACATCCCAGCCGAGTACAAGTCTCTTATCCCAGCCGAGGTTGCCGAACACCTCAAGTCCATCACCCCAGAAGAGAAGGCCATCCTCAAGGACGTCGCCAAGGGATACAAGGACTTCAAGAGCGAGGATGACGTGAGTTTCAGGTCCACGATGGAATATCCTAATTTCTGAATTTCCAGTTCTTGAACGCCCTCAAGGAAAAGTCTCCAGCTCTCCACGAGAAGGCCTCCAAGCTCCACCAAATCGTCAAGGACAAGGTCAACTCTCTCAACGATGAGGCTAAGGCTTTCGTCAAGAAGGCTATCGCTGAAGGACGCAAGATCCACGCTCAATACTTGGCTGGAGAGAAGCCATCCCTCGACACCCTCAAGGCCACCGCCAAGACGTAAGTTTCGCAAACAGAAGATTCTAGAACGAATTCTAACTCTTTCAGCCACATCGAAGCCTACAAGGGACTCTCCCAGGATGCCAAGGACTCCATCTCAAAGGAATTCCCAATCCTCACCGGATTCTTCAAGAGTGAGTTTCATAGATCCACGCCTTCTGATTTCAATATCTTCCTTTTTCAGACGAGAAGGTTCAAGCCATGGTTGGACAATACATCAACTAGATGACTACTTCTCCAGAATTCAACCGCTTCATTTTTATGTAACTTAACAATACTTTGTTTTCCATTTCCCTGAATTTCCCCCCAAATGATGAGAGCCCCCAATTTTTCCCTTTTTTGAATCCAATGTTGAAATAAAATATTGTTTTCCTGATTCCTGTCTTTTTCGAACTTTCCAGAAAATTGAAAAATTTGAGCAGTTGCTGATGGATTCTGCAAGATTGAAAAGAAGAGATAATGGAGTCAAAGTCTGATAGAGGCTATTATCACAACACAGGGGGCACGAGAAGGGACACAAAATTAATGACCTCTTCTCTCCGGAGTCCTGAGAGAATTTTATCACTTCGGTGACAGAAATAAAAGTGTTGCAAAATGATGATAGAAATTAGAAACATTGATTGGAAACTTGAGAGCTTTGAGCATCAAGAAAATTGAGAGAGGGGGCTAAACATATCAAAAATTTAGCTTTAATTTTGAAAAAACTACCATATATGCTCTAATAGAAGCCCACCCAAGCCGTCAACTTTGAGCTCAATTATCTCGATTCCTATGAGAGATCTCAAAAATTAGTTAACGAATAAAATATTGATAATATCATGAAAAACATTTTATCAGTTCACAGATGTTTGATATCTTCTACAGAAATCCAGATAAGCGAACTCAAAGTTGATGGTTTGGGTGGGCTTCAATTAGAAAAAATACGGTATCTTACAATTAGCTCCTATGAAAGATATCAGAAAGTTGTCAACTGGCAAAATATTCTTCATATTATGATAAACATTTTGACAGTTAACCACTTTTCGGTATCTTTTACAGGAAATTAGATTTATGGTCTCAAAGTTGACGGTTAGGGAGCATTAAAGTTTCTGAACCGTTTGAAAAAAATCTGGTTATGGGATGGATAACTCGGAATATACATGAGGTTGAAGATGAAGAATATCGTTTTTGTTTTATCGGAAAATGAAAAAAAGATTGAAAGAGCAAATGAAAAATGAATCTTGAACAATGGGAGAAGTCTAATTTATTACTCTATACGACTTCTCGCTGGGAGCTTGAGAGCAGCCATATTTTATTTCATTTCCTCTTTTTGGGTGCCAGATTCATTCAGGACACAGAAACCTATTTTGAAGTTGTTCAGTTTCATGCAAAAATTGATAAAATATGCAGAATCAGAAATTGAGAAATGATAAGATATTCATTTGGAATGTCTAAACAAACCCAAGTCGTTCAGATTTTGGATGAATCATTGAGTTTAAAAAATTTTGCAAAGGATTTTTTTTCTCAATTTTCGGGTCCGTTTTTCGCGATTCTCGTCATAAATATCGAAAAGTTGTTAACTAAGAAGTTGTTTATCATAATCTCGCAAAAATTTTACCAGTTGACACATTTTCGATATCTTCCTTATATATATATAAAATTACCTTATATGTATATAAAACACGTCTGTTGGTCCCGGTGTCCGACTGTCATCTTTTGGGTTTTTAAATAAAAGTGTGGCTGCTACCAAAACTGAACCCGGGAGTTTCCGCATCACACTACGCCCGTACACAGGTGCGCCATGAGGACCACGCGGGAAGAGGGGAGGGAGGAGTAGATATTCTATCCTTTGAGAAATAGAAATAGAAAAGTAAGGAGAGGAGCGAAGAACCAAAAGAAAAAGGAAAAAAATCAAACTAAAGCCCAGGTTCAAACCCGGATGGGCTTAAACTGACAACAAATGACAACCATAATTTCGCAACTTTGGCCATATATCTCGGTTCCTGTAAAAGATATTCAGAAATTTTGAAAGCAAAAATGTTTGTCTTGATAAAAAAAAACATTCCATCAGTTGACAATATTTTAATATCTCAAACAGGAAACAAGTTAATTAGGTTCAAAGGAACGATCTTTTTAGGGAGTTTCACAGATTTCAAAAGTAAAAATTCGAGTTTATTTAAACGTGATGAATAAAAAAAATTCAAAAGAAACCCCGTGGCAAAAAGTTCTTCGAAAGAAATTTAAAATTCTAGAAAAAAACGACAACGTGAGTTGGTTTAGAAGCCATTGACCTCTGGGAAAATAATATAAAAAGAGGGAAATGAAAGGAAGAATCAGTTCTCACCTTCTCTGATCTCCAGAGTAGGTGACCCGGGTATCCTGGGTTCTAGTCCTGGGTCCAGGATCCGGGTATCCTGGATCCTAGTCCTGGGTCCAGGATCCGAGTGACATGGGTCCGGGTGACCTTGGTCCCGGTGACCTGTATCCGGGTGACCTGGATCCGGGTGACCTGGATTCCCGTGACCCTGACCGGGTGACCCGGATTCGGGTGACCCGGATTGGGGTGACCCTGACCGGGTGACCTGAATACGGGTGACCTGAGTCTGGCTGACCTGGATCCGGGTGACCTGGAACCGGGTGACCTGGATACGGGTGACCTTAATCTGGGTGACCTGGATCCGGGTGACCTGGATTCGGGTGACCCTGACCGGGTGAACCGGATTCGGGTGACCCTGACCTGATGACCTGGATACGGGTGACCTGAGTCTGGGTGACCTGGATACGGGTGATCTGGATACGGGTGACCTGGATACGGGTGACCTGGATACGGGTGACCTGGATCCGGGTGACCTGGATACGGGTGACCTGGATCCGGGTGACTTGGATACGGGTGACCTGGATCCGGGTGACCCCCACCGGGTGACCTAGATACGGGTGACCTGAATCTGGGTGACCTGGATCCGGGTGACCTGGATCCGGGTGACCTGGAACCGGGTGACCCCCACCGGGTGACCTAGATACGGGTGACCTGAATCTGGGTGACCTGGATACGGGTGACCTGAATCTGGGTGACCTGGAACCGGGGTGACCTGTATCCGGGTGACCTGAATCTGGGTGACCTGGAACCGGGGTGACCTGTATCCGGGTGACCTGAATCTGGGTGACCTGGAACCGGGGTGACCTGTATCCGGGTGACCTGAAAATAATGAAACGATAGGTGGAAAAACTGAGAAATATCGATTTAAGGCAAACCAAAAAATTGCAAATCGACTGGTTTTGTTATAGGAGCTGAGATGATTGATATGGAATGTGACAGTGTGGGTTCTTCTACATATTTAATATTTTATGATATCTTACATTTTGTGAAAAATCGTTACCTGTTTTTCATTTTGCCCTCAATGTTTTTGGAATCACAAATTTTGATTCCAAACACTTTTTCATCTGCAACCTCACGTATCCATTATCTTATCCATGTAATCCATCCCTTAATCAGTTCTTTTTTAGTGGTAAATCATGAATCCAAACATCTCTTTACCAAATCCTGAAAGCCTAAAAAGCTGATCACACAGATTTCGGCATAACAGCTGATCGTAAAATTATATTCCAGCATTCATTAACTGAAAACCCTAAAAAAATCGTTCGATGTTTTAAGTCATTCTTATGACATAATTTCTTGTCATTATCCTTTCAATTAACTGAATCCTTTGCAATGATCTCTGTTCTTCAGGGGAGATATTAAAACATGTCTACTGATAAAATTTTAACCATAATCTAACAAAAGCTATTTTTGGAAGTCCCCGTCAAATCAGAAAAAAAACTGAAATCCTAGAAACTGAAAATTTGTTTTTTATTCGATTTTCCTTTTTTGAATTTCTAGATTCTTGGAGTCTTGAAATCCAAACTACGAAAAAAACTAATTTCCAAAATTATAGGATTTCTATAACTAGTTGAAAGAATGATGGTAAAAATTTTGAATTTCTGGAATCCGGATCCCGGGTTTTCAGACTTCTAAAATCTCGAAATTCTGAAAATTAGAAAAATTAGGTTCTTTTCGGAATTTTGATTAGACTTCAGTAATCTGGACAGTCAGGAATCCAAACATAAAAACCTGAACTTTTTTTTTCGAAATACCGTAAAACCTGTAATTGAAGGGCCTTCTGACTATAAACTTTGAGCCAATTTTTTTCGGTTCCTGTCAAAGATATCAAAAATCTCTCAACTGATAAATTGTTCATCATAATGTCAGATGTTTCATCAGTTAACACATTTTTGATATCTTGCATAGGAACCAAGACAAATTGGCTCAAACTTGGCAATGAGCAGGTTCTTCTATTACAGGTCCTACATAAGTTTTTTCGTCATGTTTTGCACTGTGCCGCACTCTCCCCACATGTTCCTAAAAATATTCCAAAGCGTTTGTCAAGCTTAACTTCAACTAAACCAAAAAGTGTGATTACCCTCTGTCATCCGCGATAGACCTAATCCATCTGACAATCCCAAAAACACCTAAAAGTTATTTCCACCATATCAGCGACAAACATCAAAACCTCTTCTCTCTGTAATCCTGAATATTGCCACATCTCCCAATATATCCATGATTATCACCTCTCAAAACTACATATCCCTTGTTTTCCGCAGAAAAAAACGGCTACGAAATCCTCTTTTCCTCCCCTTCCCACCCACATTTCAACGAGTACAAAAAAGCGGAAAAAACAATCGTCTTCTTCATCTTTTGCTCCATTTTTTTCTCTCTTGTGACTTCCATAATCCGACGGGAAAGAGGCTGTATACACAGTCATGCACATCACATCTTCTATCTCTTCTCGGTTTTCAGATCTTTCTTCTTCTTCTTCTTCTCTTATATTTTTTTCAATTTCAATATTCAGAATGCCTAATAGAGGACATAAAGTTGCTCAGGCGGAGTCCAGGTGGTCATGCTCCATATGAAAGAGTGCACCATTCGTAAAAAGTTATAAATCTCCCAAGAGAAAAGGGCGGAGAAGAGAGGTATAAAGAAAATTGGTTTCTTGACTTGGTAAAAAGAAGAAAACGTCCCTTTTCCCATTTCCCTATTCTCTATTTTACTTCATTCTGACTCTTCTTTTTTTATATAGACCAAAAATAGTGTTCAGCGTTTCTACATTAAAAATTGAGCACCTACTTTTTGGCACCAAGAGTCAAAAAAGAAAAAATTCTGGAATCCCGCAAACTTGAATTTCTAGATTCCCAGATTCCTGGAATCTCAAATCCAAACTTTGGAAATTTCGGAATTTGGGCGAATGGGCGAATCTCTAAAGTTTTAGGACCCTCATAATCTTTATTCAGAGATTTTGAGGAAACATCTGAATTCCTATAATTTTAAAAATGGAAAAAATTTAGAAACCCAGGCATTTCAGGAGTTTCAGATTTAAAAATTTTTGAAATTCCGGAAATTCAAAAAATCGTATTCTTTTTGAAATTTTGAAAATAACTCATAAATCTAAAAAGACCGAAATTCAAAAAGCCGAAAATCAAAAAATTAGGATTTCTGAAGACCATGAAAATATTATAGATGTTGAAAATGTGGAATCTGAACTCCTGATCTATTTTGTCTGAATAATTAGTGTTCCTAGCATCAAACCGTAATTCTACCTGTAATAGAAGTGCCCCCCCCACACTGTCTATTTTGAGCTCAATTATCTCAGTTTCTGTTAAAGATATCAAAAATGTATCAACAGACGAAACACTTCTAATATTGTGATGAACAATTTATCAATTGACAACTTTTTCATATCTTCGGCAGGAACCGAGAAAAATTGGCTCAAAGTTCAAAGTTGAGTGACCCTTCATTCTGCGGTATTTCAATGATCCGGATTTCTAGAGCCTTCAGGCAAACTTAGAATTCTTAGAAACTTCTTGTCAAGAATCTCTGACTTACGTTCCCATCTCCAATTTTTTTCAAGTTCCAAACTTTCAAGAACTTTGCTCATCTCAAAAAATTCCCCCTTCTCACACAGTTAGAGCCAAAATTGGTTTTCCCATTCTCTCCGAACTGCTTCTTCTCCTCGTCTTCCAAACAATTTTCCAGAGAGTTCTCCTTTGTTAGTACCTTCATTTTGGGTTCTCTCCATATAAGAAAAGAGAAAAGTTGTCCCACTCTCCGTTTTGCCATTTTTTCTCCTAGAAAAAAGACGTAAGAGCAGCAATAACCACACGGGAGAGATGGGAGAAAAAACACGAGAAGAGCCTGATTCAGACGACGTGAGTCTTCTATCTCTTCCATCTTCTTCTCGTTTTTCGCCCAGAAAAACCGGAGAAGAAGAAGAACAAGATGGACACTTTTCATCCTTCAAAACACTCAAAATAGAGCTGTCTCTCGTCAGTTCCCTTGTTTATTCCATATAAGTTTTTGTTTTCTTCTTGTTCGGGAGAGAGAGAGAGAGAGAGAAAGAGACTCCACATTCTGTTTATTATTGTTATTTGGTGGTGGTGGTGTTAACTTGTGAAAAAAAAATAGACGGAGAGTGATGGAGTTCGTAACATTCATCTATAGGAAATGGGCTTCTGTTCCGAAGAATATTAGTGTTGCTCAGCAAGTAGCGGCGCGGTTCCTCCGAGGGTGGGTCCACTTTTGAGTCAAGAGGCTATCGACTTCACCTTGAGGTGACTGAAAATATATTTCTTCTTTCGTAAAATGTGAATTTTGAAGCTTATGGAACGAAAACAGTGCGTAATTTTTTCAAGTTTCTCTTCCAGACGAATAAAATTTTTCACAAAAGGCCGATGAATACAAAAAAGAGGCTTTATCTATACTTCATAAAGCAGTAATTTCTCTGCCCTATCCGAAAATTACTAGGCGTTTTTTCCAAACTCTCAAAGTCTTCATTTTCTTAACTTGCTGGAGAAATTGAGTGTTTTTCGAGTCGAACTGGGAGTCTACTTACCGTATACTCTCTGATAAAAGGCCACCCGAACCATCAACTTTGCATAATATGAACACTTGTTTTTAATTTTCTCATAATTCATACTACAGTAATCTTATGTATTCCTCCTATTCTTTTCTTATAGATAAAAACAGCTTGAAATTCATCTCAGTTTGCATACAAATTGGCTTCTTGTAGCTTCGTTATTTTGCTGCCTTAAAATTATTTGTGCAATTTCAGATTAGTATGTGCTCGGAAAACCTATTTTTGTTTATATTTACCAGATTTCTGCAATCTCTGAACACCAACAAAATTTGAACCTCCGCTAGATTTCGCATCACTATTATATTAGAATGTTCGTTCCGTTATTCATAAAATCATTTATATATTCTGCACCTTTCAAGTTTTGAGGCTAAAGCCAAAGCATCTGTTCTATCACCCTCTAATCTGTACTCTTAAACAAGCAAGAAACGAATCTAAAACCCCTAAAGTCAGATTTAAAATCTTTCGGTTTTATCGAAATCCCAAAAAACCTTCTAGATGTTTTTTCCTGTCAGTCTGAATTTAAGAATTCTTGTCATTTCTTTGAATTTTTGGCTATAATTTAGGAAAGAGACTTTATTTTAGGAAAGAGACTTATTGTTCTTGACACAATTTTCGGGCGGAGCGAGAAATTAGGTAGAGTCTACAACGGCTTGTAAGCTTACTAGTAGTTATCTTTACAAAATTTTCTGATTTTTTCTCAAAAGTTTCAGACGATATCTCTCTTGACAGTTTTCCTAGCCTAAACGTTTCACAATACAACCGAAATTTTCGACTTTGTTCTGGCCTTGTGACGTAACAGCGACTATTACATTAAAACCTGTAATTAAGCACTGTCAAGTTCAAGCTAATTTTTCTTGGCACCTGTGCAAGATATCCAAAATGTGTGAACTGGTAAAACTCTTGTGGTATTATGATAAACTATTTGCCAGTTTACAAATTTTTTTATATCGTTGCCAGGAACCAAGAAAAAGTGGCTCAAAATTATTGGTTTGTTTTTCTCAATCGTATAAAACTTTTCAAAGCTAACTTCCTCGTTTCTATTTCCAGATGTCCCGTTTATTATACATCATTCCTATACTTCTTCTTTTCTGCACTCTTCCCGTGGCTTCTTTGAACAGTAAACGATCCGATCCAATGTTCCTGGCCCTAGCTTGTCCTAATCAATGTGAAGTTCGTGTCCGGTTTTTGGTGAGTACGTAGGCTAAATATTAGGGGTACCGCAGCTGAGCTACGCGGTCGAGAACTAGGCTGTTGGCTGATAATCCACATCGGCGGTATCAGTCAAACGCTCTCCTTTCAAAAAAACTCTTTTCAGGAGTCTATGTCGGGACTCTCCGTCTATAACAACACAACTCCAATATTTCAAATGATTTTATCCAGCACGAATGGAACTCTTGACGAACATAGACTCCACGTTCCAGAAGACGTTAGTGTCCTTGAATTTGTCTTTGAACCCAGAGAAGATTTTAATGGAACAATAAATCAGGAAACGAGTGTTTGGGATTTGACCTATTCAGAAACATATTTTCACTCCTCTGGAGGAGGATCACTTTATATGTTTGGAAACTTGCCGTGTGGAAAGTGAGTTGTTACAGTAATCAAAATCAGAGAGCACGCCAACTAGAAATAAAAGTGGGCGGAGTCAGAAAAGACAAACTGCACATGGTTTTGCGGCACATATTACCCAAATATGTCCCCATAAAGCTTGTCCCATTCTTTTGTTTTGGCATGTCTCAAAGTGAAAATCTTGTGACCTCAATTCCCAAAAAGTTAAAGCCTAAGGCGGATAAAAAATTCAAAATGACTACAAAGCGGTTCATAAAATTTCTGTAAACACCATCTTGTGACAAGATTATCAATGAGTCAAGACTATTTTCGTGGATGACCAATCATATGTTTTTTGTCGAAAAACTGAAAACAAACATGATATTAGCTGGATTTAAAAAATTAATGTTAATGAAAATTTTTGTACATTGTAATGGATCCCAATTTTTAAACCAGAAATTTTGAACGTATCCGGAATAAGAAAACCAAAAAGTTTTACAAGGATTTCTTAAAATTTGAAACTTAAATTACATACTTTATCTTGTCTAGCAGCCAATAATTTTTTCAAAGCTAGAAAAAAGCTCCTATTTTTTTCGCTTCAAAAATTTCCCAAAATAATTTTTCTTTGAAAATTCATCTAAATGAGATAGATGTAATAAAATGGCCCTATCAGCTTAGACCCAATTATCTCATTTTCCGAGAAAGGTACCCGAAAGTGGTCAACTGACAAAACGCTTATTATAATATCTAAAATATTTAGTCAGTCGAACATTTTTTAGTATTTCTTACAGGGAACGATATATACTCGGTCAAACTTAGAGGTCCTTCTATTACAGGTTTAACACTTACCTGGTTCTGAACTTCATTTCATTTGGATGAAACTAAATGGAAATTATTCTTGGCTGAATTCCCGAATTTTAAGTCAAAAGCCTGTGTTTTTTTCAGAACCAAACTTTCATATTTTGAAGCCCCGATTCCGTAATTTTAAAGCCAAAAACCAAGGTTTTTGAAATTAATTTTCCGTATCTTCAGAGCCGGAAATCTAGGCTACCTTTTCATCGGTGCAAGTAGCACGTTACCTGGTTTTCAATTTAAAAAATCTTATTTTTCCAGATACGGTTGTCCCCAAAACCCCCTCTGCGACGCTGGTTGCCGTTTCACAGTCATCGCATCAATCGGTGCATTCTGTCTCTCGATCCTCGCTGGTCTCATCCTTCAAACCGTCTACGTGTCGTTCCTCGGATTCCGTAAAACACGAAAAGAGCTCGAGATTCGCGATACGCTCCGTTTGACAGAGTCCGCTGAGCCTTCACATTAAATCTACTACTGTACTTTTATTATCTCTTTCTTCTTCTTTTTTTCACCTACACCCATAAAATATTATTTCTTTTAATAATTGGTTGTATTTTTATTTGGGTTCGTTCTGCCCAATTCGTATATCTTCTTCTATTTTCTTCTCCCATGTTTATAACCTTTTTTTCAGATGCGGATTTTACTATTCCTACTGTTCCTACCTACCGTATTCTGTCAGTTCCATCTGTTCATTGTCATTTCATGTGAATCCTATTGCCACGTCACCTTCCGTCATCATGAAATGGAATACTACAGTGTGATGGAGCACACTGCTCAAATCGCTCGCCATTTTGAGGATCCCGTACCTCAAGTTCTTTTCCAAATTGACAATTTCTACAATACCACTGATTTCATGCCGGTGACAACGAAGATTACATGGACAAGTTATTTGAATAAGACATTCTACTACAATCAGGATGGAGCCATGATTGTTGCACATTACTTTTGTCCAGAGTGAGTTAGCTAGGGATGCAATTGTGATCCATTGAAGCTTAATTATTCCTGTGAGAGATATCAAAAAGGGATCAACTGACAAAATGCTTAGCATAATGTCAACAAAACTTTATTAGTTAACAATTTTTTGATATATTTCATAAAATCCAAGATCATTGTGCTCAAAACACTATTACCGTAAAAGCTCTCATAGAACGAAAATCTTCCAGCTTTGAGCTCAATTATCTCGTTTCCTGTGAAAGATATCGAAAATCTGTAAACTGACAAAATTTGCATCATAATATCGGGAACATTTTATTAGTCAACAACTTTTTGATATATTTTACAGTAACCGAGATAAATAGGCTGAAAGTGTAAGTAATGGATGGCTTTCCATTTGAGCGATTACGATAAATAATATCTAACCTCCGTTATGAAAATAATTAAATTGGTTCTAGTTTATAGTCTTAACCTTTAAAGATCCTTGAATAATTTTCCTATTTCCAGAGGTCGCTGCCTAATCGACAACACTCGAATCGAATACAAACGAAGTATCGAGCAGTGGTGCCTTGGTTTGGTTCTAATTGGTTTGATGTTCTTCATGGTTATCAGTGGAGCAGCCGAGGCAATTTACAAATGGACGAAACAAAAAATATTTCGAAGAAGAAGTAATACTCCACAACCCTATAATTCTCTAGAGTTGACGGATATGTCAAAGAGAGCGGTGACATTGACTACAGCCTGATAAATGGTTGTATAATATTTTGTTCAGGTTTTTTTAGAAGTGTAATAATGATTAATAAATGGCAATAAATATTTTTGTATATTTTGTGCTCTTTGAGTATTTGAAAAATATGATTTTCGTGATGTTCGACGGCTGATGTGTCCGATTCCGGAATATTATCCACGATTACGGCAGATGACATTTTCCTCGTCGATTTCGTTGGAATTCCTAGTTCCATAAAACGTTGTCAGAATGAGGCAGAAGATAGACAGAAAAGTACAAAGTTCAATGCTTTTCCCAGGACGCCGAGGATTGTGCAGATTGCACTCTGCAAAAATTCATTAGATTGATGAGATGGGGATTGAACTGACCATTGTGAACCAAAAATAAATAATATATATAAAAGCTCAGAAACGTGACAAATGCAGAAGGACTCTGAAAATGCACTTCTATAGAAGTAAACGTGCGCTGATAGGGTAAGTATCGTTCTAGTAGGGCTTCAACAGTATCCCTTTTCCCCAAAGCCCCCCTTACCTGTGTTATCGTGAAACACGTAACAATCGCTGTGACCGTAATCGTAGCCTTGTGTTCTGTCTCCGCCTGTACCATTCCTTGTGGACCGCCCCGAATAGCTTCCGATGATTTAAACAGTTGTTGACTAAATTCAAAATCTGTTTATTGATTACCTACTCACTTTTCCCTAGCTCTGTCGCAATGTCAAAATGAGCATCACATTGAAAATGATCACAAGAATCACAGGAATCAAAACCACAACGTACCAACAACTTCATCAATTCTGAATTGGGATTCGGTTCATTTCGAAACCATCGTTCGGAATTGATATGAAGGCATACAACGTAGTATTGGGTTCCCCTACAGTAGAGTTTTCCGACGCATGTGTGACTGACGTGGTTGTAGAATGTGAGGATGAATGTTGTGACGACGATTATGAAGACAACGTTCCGAGGAGTAAAGAAATGGAAAAAATTATTTAATTTGAAGGTATCAAAAACAAACCTTTGCTTGTTTCCTCACCGATAATGGATATTTGTTGATGATTAATCTCTCCAGACAAATCACAAGAACCAACCTAAAATGAATCAAATTTATTTTCTAAAATTCAATTTTCTTCCACTCACCAAGTTGCCGTGGCTATTGACCAATTGGAAGTTCCGATGATTTGAAATTTATATTTCCCATAATAATTCCCATATAATCTCCGAAACCAAATAGTCAATTTGAAAATTTCATAATGAGCCATAGAGTGAAGAAGGTTTACAATCAAAGTGACGGTATCGGCAACTGCTAGACAAGCAAGAAGTTTATTTGACCTGGAAAACACTTTTCTTTTTTTTTTCTAGGCCACAAAGCTCTTACCTTGTCCGTAGATTCGGTGCTAACAATACAGTAAGAGTTAAAATATTTCCAAATATTCCGAAAAGTACAAGAACCGGAAAGGTGGTTCCTATGAGTCCTTCCTCCGCGGCATTTCTAGATAAAGACATCATTATGTCTGTCAGACAGATGCCCGTCCATGATTTCGACAGTAGTGTTGTGTTGATTGGCATCTGAAGATTACGGAGAATTCAAGAGACGGAGGTAACGGAATGAGGTATGGGAAATGAACCAATTCGACATTCGATTCATTTTTTACTACAGAAAGACTCTACAGTACTACAGAAAGACTCTACCATTCAGTTTTCGCGTTAACTCTAATTGTTACTACAGTAGCACTATATTTTGCATACAAGTGCATTTACATTTACATCAAATTCTGAAGAATTAGCAGCAACTGGGCTAAAAGAAATTAACTGGTAATTGGGAAAATTTTGAATTTTCATAGAACCTGGAATTTTCTCGTTTTCTGTAAAAATTATCAACAATTAGTCAACTGATTAAGACACATTTTTTTTGACAGAACTAGGTGTACAGAAAAATTCAAACTTGTTTTTCCTGGTTGTTTTCATATATAATAATTTGTTTTGACTTGTCGAACACCTGCAAAAATATGGTCATGAGATTTTTCGGCCATCCCCTTTTATGGTTCGAACGTTTGACAATCTGTTGGAAAACTGTTCGAATGAAATTAACCCATTTTCAAACATTTCTTTGAAAAACACACATTGGTCCGGAGTAATTCTGAATAGTTTTATAATACAAAAAGTTCAATGTACTTTATTGGTCAAACAAGAGGAATGCCCGTCGCATCATCGAGATCAATTATACATGGGGAGAAAAATAGGGAAAAACAAGAACACATTTGAATTGAAATAGAAATTTCACAACTCCTCAAAAATGCTTCGCAGTAGAGCGCAATTGCATTTGCTTTCTATGATACAGGATGATGCAGGAGCTCACACGAAGCTTGTCCCTCTTCGGAACTCTTTTAGTGGCATTCTCTCTCCGATCATTGACTGTGAACTATTGGCACGATGTGTTCGATCAGCACGATTTCCACCGACAAGTGCAGATGAAGCAGATGTTCTTCTCTCAATCATTTCCATTGCATTTCGACTTCGTTTTCTGGATTCCGGAATGTTATCCACGATTACGGTAGATGACGTCACCATTGAGACGGTTCTGCGAATACGAAAAGCTTTAGGAATGGGGATGATGGTGTTAGCTTCTTGGGTTGGTGAGATACTACAGTTACACGAGGGGGAGAGGAGAGAGCTCAGAGAAGCAGACAACCTCGTTTCTCTGCGCTCTCTTATAAAAGCGAGCGCGGTCGAACTTCAAGAGCCTGTATCGCGAGAACCAAAAAAGGTACAAAAATTTTGTCAACTAATAAAATGTGTGAAATTTTACGCTCTTCTTTTTATAAGTCAATTAAAGCTTCCTAAATTTTATGGTTTTCGAGATTTCATGTGTTTAAGGTTCTGCGTTTGTGAGCTTAATAGAAGCCCACCCAATCAGTCAACTTTGAGCTTTATTATCTCGGCTCCTGTGAAAGATATGAAACTTTTTGTCAGCTAATAAATTATTTATCATAATATTGCCCATATTTCATCAGTTGACAAATCTTTTATATCTTTTACAGGAACCGAGATATATTGGCTGAAAGTTAAAATTTAGTTTTTGGTATGTTGTTGAATTTTCCGATTGTGTTTGTCGCTCGACTTTTCTATTTTTACAAGTAAACTTTACTTTTTTGAACTCAATAGAGCGCACTTCCCTCATAAAAGAACTTCAAGCGAGGAGAGCCATAACAGAAGCGTTTCAACATGCAAAAAATTCCAAAAAATTCATATTTATTTACAGCCAGAAGCAAGGGGAACAAGCAATCACAACATAGAAGAACTGGTGACCTAGATAAGATTTCTTGGATTTCCAATTTTTTTGGAATAGAAGAAGCCATGCGAATGGAGAGGTACACGTAAAAATGGGGGATCATCGGGCAAACGAGAGATACAAATGAGATTTTGAACTGGAGAATGGAGAATGAGAAGAGAAAGAGAGGAAGAGAGAAATTGCAGAAGTTTCAGAACCCGTTCTATTAAGGATAAAAAAGAAGCAAAAAATATATAATACAACGAAAAAAATGGGCCGAACTCAGATATGAACTTCATCATAAATGGGCCGCCACACTTGTATACCTCGTCGATTTCCTCAGAATTCCTTGTTTCGTTTGCATCATTAATCGTTGGCGGAATGAGGCAGAGGATAGACAGAAAAGTACAAAGTTCAGCGCTTTTCCAAGGACGACAAGGATTGTGCAGATTGCACTCTGCAAAAATTGGAATTCATTAGATTAAAGGGGGATCGGACTGACCAGTGTGAACCAATCCTTTTGAATGTAGAAACTGAGAAATGTGACAAATGCGGAAGGACTCTGAAAATTTATCGGGTTTCTTGTTTTCGGAGTGAAAAATGTAAATTTCAGCTATATCCAGACATTTCCAGATTAGTGGCTTTTGTGGAAAAAATCCCGAACGTTTCAGTTGCTAGATTTTTGCCTCCCTGTTTTCTAAAAATTTCGATACTCCGAAAATTCTGAATTTCAAGGAACCCTGAAATTTAGAAAGTACTCCTTGTTTTTTCAAAAGAAAATATTCCTGAAAATTAAAGATTCAAATTTTCATGTTCAAAAAAAAAAAAAATTTTTGAAGTTACAAAAATTCAGAACTCAGAAGTTCCAGAATATTCTGTTATTCAGAATTTCGGAAACTCATAAATGCGAAGTTTATTAATTCGAAAATTAAGAAAATTCTCATAATCAGAAGCTTTTAAATTTCGGGAACTGTTGGAGATTTAATTAGGAGTGCTCCGAAAAACACCAAAATGAAAGTGCTCAAAACTGCGAAATTCCAAAAATCAAAATTTTAAAGAAATTTCGAAATTTTTCGAATTTTCCGATATTAATTAACTTTCCGAAATTTCGATGACTTCAAAGTTCGAAAAGAAAAGTTTTTCATAATCTCTGAAACGCCAAAATTCTGAAAATTTGACATTCCAAGGATGTTTTGATAGTCTATAAATGCGATTTTTCAAGAATTAACAGAAAATTTCAAAAGTTAGTTCAAATTAAAAAAACAAATATTTTTTTATCTGTAAGTATCATAATATCAAGAACATTTTTTCAGTTGTCAACTTTTTGATATCTTTCACAGGAATTGAGATAAATTGGGCTAAAGTTATGGGGCCCTTTTATTATGCGGTCTCTCATTTTGATTTATTTCTAAAGAAGTAAAGAAGAGCTGAAAATGTGAGGAAACTTCTAATAGGACTGTTACGGTACTCTTTACTTCCAGAACCCCCCTTACCTGTGTTATCGTGAAACATGTAACAATAGCTGTGACCGTAATCGTAACCTTGTGCTCTGTCTTCGCCTGTGATCCATATTGTGAATCCCCTCGGATTGTTTTCGACGGTTCGAACAATTTTTGTCTGTAAATTCAGAACTTTTCATTCATTATATAGTACTCATTTGTTCCTACCTCTGTCGCAATGTCAAAATGAGCATCACATTGAAAATGATCACAAGAATCACCGGAATCAAAACCACAAATATTGCATTGACCTGTGGCGCATACCGTACCAACGACTTCATTAATTCAGAATTGGGGTTCGGTTCATTTCGAAACCATCGTTCCGAATTGATCTCAATGCATGCCACGTGGTATTGGGTTCCATTACAGAAGAGCTTTTCGGCGCATGCATGACTGACATGGTTGTAGGATGTGAGGATGAATGTTGTGATGACGATTATGGAGACAACGTTTCGAGGAGTGAAGAACTAAAAAGGATTAATCGATTATGAATTTTGTTTTTTTAAGACTGAAGTTTCTATAATATGAGGCCTTCCTTCTAATATAGGTTTTAGGGCATTCCTAATTTTTCAACATGGACAAAATTTCAGAGAATAGGTTCTATAATTCAAAAATTCACTGATTTGAAGGTTTCTAAATCCGAAAGGATTCAAACGGACCCACCTTTGCCTGTTTCCTCACTGATAATGGATACTTGATGATGATCAATCTCTCCAGACATATCACAAAAACCAACCTGAAAATTCAATAATATATTCTAAATTCAATTTTCTTCCACCCACCATGTCGCTGTGGCTATTGACCAATTGGAAATTCCAATAATTTGAAACTTATACTTTCCATAAAATTTTCGAAACCAAAGAGCCGTTTCAAACATTTCATAATGAGCCATAGAATGCGGAAGGATTACTATCAAACTGACAATATCGGCGACTGCGAGACACGCAAGAAGTTGGTTTGATCTGGAAGAGTTTTTTCTAACATTTTCTCGGCTACAAAGTTCTTACCTTGTCCTTAAATTCGGCGCTAACAGTACAGTAAGATTCAAAATATTTCCAGAAATTCCAAAAAGTACCAGAACGGGGATGATGGTTCCTATGAGGACTCCTTCGGCGGAATTTACAGATAAAGACATCTGCCTGTCTGTCAGACAGATGTCCGTCGCTGATTTTGACGGTAATGTTGTGTTATTTGACATCTGAAAATTATATATCAAAAATTCTAGATTTAGAGAGCGTTTCAAGAATAGAAAAGACGGGAATTGCGGAAGTTCCCTATAAAATTAGGTATTAAAAAATTATATTTTATTGTCGAATTAAAAAAAGTGGGATCTGAGAATTTGAAAGGCGTAGCTTTCTTTGATCTACGAAAAAGTGCGGCAAAAACGTAATATTTCAGAGTTTCGCCTCGTTCGAGCTACTTTCGCAATTAAGTTCGGTTTTTCTATGAAAATCAGATTCTAGAGATGCTAGCGATCGTTTCCATACCAAGAAATCTAAATTTTGTACAGAAAATCTCACTGAATTCCCAGAAATAAGTTTCGTTCACTACTGTAGTGATTTTGAAGCAAGGCCTCGGAAATTGACCGGGAAGCCGCCCGCGAAATTTTCCAGGTCCCACTTTTTAGTTCGACAATAGGAAAGAAGATATTTTTTGTTAAAAAGGGAACTTATAAAAATGGAAAAATGCAAATTAGATCTTATATTTTTGAGGGTGTTCGGTTTTCGATCACTATGAAAAGGAAGTGAGAAAAAACAGATCAGACAGACCTCCAAAACTCAGACAAACATGTTTTCTAAATTTTACCATTGAAGATTATTTGAAGCAAACCATGATCATAGAAACTACAGTAACACTCAGCAGAGCGCGTCATCCAGTTTTCGCGTTGAGACTCAAACGCAAATTTTTAGCACAGTATATCTATTTCGGAAAGTTTAGAAATTTTTCAAAATCTGAAAATTTAGAAAATTGAAATTTTCGAAATTTCTAAAAAAATTAGAAGCAACTGAAAATTCAGCATTTCAAAAAATAAAATTATTTTTGGATTCAAAGAATTTTATGAATTGGTAATTGAAAAGTTATGAATTTTCATAGAACCTTCAAAGGGTACCGTAAACTTTAAGCTCAATTTTCTCGGCTCCTGTAAGAGATATCAAAATTGGTCAATTGATAAAATTTTAATGATTTTATGATAAATATTTTGTCAGTTGACAAATTTCAAATATCTTTCACAGAAACCGAGATAAAGTGAGTCAAAGACAACGAGTATGGGTGCCCGCTCGCTGAAATAGGGACTGCACTCTCCGGCGCCATAGTTTGAGCGGTGGCCATCTTTAAACCCATATATCTCATTTTCTGTGAAAGATATCAAAAATTTGTCAGTTGATAAAATGTTTATCATAATATCAAAATTGTTTTATCAATTGACAACTTTTTGATATCTTCTACAGGATTCGAGATAACTTGAGTCAAAGTAGGGAACCCTTCTATCATACGGTGTATTGTATCTTATTTGGATGCCGGTATTTTGAAGATTTACAAACATACAAAGCCTAAAAGACACAAAATTTTGGAACACAGAGATTCATCCAAAAATAAATAAATAAATAGTTCATATTTAAAAAAATTGTTGTTGACTGGGAGGAAAAAGTCTCTTAAATGCCCTTTTCGATAATGGTAAATAGCTATTTTGGGAAATAGGAGTCTCCTGACATTGCTCATCACATAAACAAATAAAAAATTAGGAATTCTTGAAATATGATAATTTTATTTTTGTAGTTTTAGATTGCTGATTTCCTGGAAAATCTTAGAAATCACTCGTAAAGTGATAGGGAATATCTTTAAAATTAAGTTTTGTAGGAGTGAATTCTGAAAGAATTCCGAAGCTTCAAAAAAATAGAATCAAGATGCTATCTAAAAATAAAGCTCCAAACATTTGATCTACTCTTCTGACCCATCCCGTTATCCTAATAGTTTTCTCATTTCTCAATCAAAAAAAAAAGAGATAACGTAAATTAGAGAGTCTCACGAGCAGATAAAGAGAAATGGGATGAGTGATTAATTATGTGTGGAGAACTCGAGAACTCAAAAAAAGATCCATCCGTCTCTGCCCATTTCTCTCCAACCCACACATCTGTTTGACGATGAGATGGACGAAGAATGAGAAAGCAAAGAAATCTAGAAGAAGCGAAAAAAAAGAATATTCGGTAAGGATGACATTTGAGAAACACAAGGCGAAAAGGACAAAAGGCATCAGGCGATAATTGAAAAGTTGATGTGTGCTTATGTGTGTGAATCGGCATGTTTGCAGAGAGAGGATTCTGGGATTCAGGAGTCGCGTGACAAGGAGAATATGCACCCAGGAATCATTGAAGCAGGGTGAAAGAGATTGAAATCTTACGAAAGGTTAAGGTTATCTGGAGCAACTTCGAGTAGGAGGGTTAAGCGAGACAGAAGACTTTTCAGAGTTCCCACCTTGCAAAATTTTAATCAGGGTGTTTTTTAACGAAAAACAGAACTAATTGAAAAAAAGAAACCTGTAAAATGTTGAAGAAATCGTTTTTGTAGAAAAAAATAAAGTCCATTTTTTTGTACCAAAATTTTGAAATTTGAAAAGTTAGGAAAACGAATCGAAGCTTTTGATTGTACCAAAAACATTTCAGAAAAATACAACGTACTCCCTCCAATAGAAGTCGTTAATTTTGAGCTCAATTATATCTAATCATGTGAAAGATATCAACTTAAATTATTTATCATAATATCAGTAACATTTTATCAGTTGACTAATCTTTCATATCTTTCACAGTAACCGAGATAAATTGGGCTAAAATTGTTTATTTCGGTTACTGTGAAAGTTTTACCATTTCTGTTTTTTAATAATTCTGGAATTTTTGAATTATTTTTTGGTTTTTTTCATATTTTTGAGGTTATTAAACTTGCCATATTGCTAATTACAGCGGAAAATTTCAAAACAATTATCGGAAAACTTTCACAAAATCTTCAAAATCTACAGACTCTGATGGATATTTATCTGTGTGAAAAACTGACCACTCATTAATTTTTCATTCACAAAATTATTGAAAAAAAAGTCTGCGGCTACTTTTTTGTTGCAAAAAAATTGAATAGCGGGCTATACAAATCTAGGGAAAAATCATGAAAAAGTTTCGGAAAAGTGCAAAAAAACAGGAATTGATGAGGAAGAAGATCTTTTGAACTGTGAATATATTAATATCAATTTTCTGGGTTCTCATTTTTGCTACTTTGACTTTAGCTCAAAAATAGAATGTGCAGTGATCTGGAATGGGAAAATTGAACTAAAAAATAACTGAACTAAAAAATATTACTGAACTAAAAAACTGAACTAAAAAATATTTTGGAAGAAAAACAAAAATCAAATTTCAAAGTTTAGAATTTTACACAAAACTTTCTTGTATGTAGTTTTTAAGTTCTTAAAATTTTCAGAGAAAATCAAAAGTTATACAGGCAACAAGGTGTATACGAATTCTCCCTCCTTTTCCCTAAAAATTCAAAAATGTTGTCCTCTTTTCTATTTTCAACAATACTCCTCAGCAAACTTTGACTCGTATACAAATAAACCCCAGAAAAGCGATATTTTCTCATTTTTGATTTTTTAGAGTTCTGAATTCTAGAATCTCTGAATTTTAGAATATTAACTTCCTGAAATCTGAAAACTTCATATTTTCAAAATCTCGTATACTCAAAATCTCAAAATTTCACATTCGAAGGAAATCAGAATTTCAGAAATTCAGAATCTCAGTTTCTTAAAATCTAGGAATCTCAAAACAAATTTTCCCAACAAATTTCCCAATAATTCTCTCAACAAATTCCGCTCAAATAGTAGAATTATTGAGATCTCAAAATTTTAGAATTCCCGAATTTTAGAATCTCGGAACATAAAAATCTCGAAATCTCAAATTTTAACTTTCTTCAAATCTGTGATATCAGATTCTCAGAAGCCCGAAATCTTGGATTTTAAAAACCTCAAAGCCGAACATTTCAAAATTTCAAAATATCCGGATCTCCAAATTTTCGAATTTTCGAATTTCAGCGTCTTAGAATTTTTAATTATAGGAATCTCAAAATCCTAAACCTCAAGTTCTCAAAATGTTCTCTAGTGGGTGATCTTAGTCATAAAGAAGTGAAAATCTGAACCAAAATTTGGCATAAATTCATGAATCAGGTGGATAATGAGATTTAAAGAATCACAAATTTAATTCCATTCAAAAAGTGTCTATTCTGACTTTTGACCCAGATGGACAAGACGACACAAAATTGTATATACATCAACAATTTCGGGAAAGAATAAAAATAAAAGAGTAACGGAAAAGATCGGCAACAATCTCATATAAAATGAAGGTAATTTGTGTCAATTTAACTGCAAAAAAGGCGGGAAAAAGAGGGCGGAGAAGGCGGAGAAAAGCAGAACTGAGACGATGTCTTGCGACGGAAAAGAAGTCGTCTTTTGACTCTGATAATACTAATTAGATGCAGACGACATCTACATCAGATTTTTAGAGATTCTGAGAAGATTTGTGTTCTTATTCGATGAAGATAACGCTTTTGCAAATAGATTGTGGTTTCAGAAAATTTTAGAAAATAAAAACATTCTGTAATTCGAAAATCGGAGGTTTGAGATTCTGAGGTTCTAAGATTCTGAAAATCGAAAACTTAGGCTCCCTTTGAGATTTAAAGCCTTTGAGATTAAAAAAACTGAGATTCTAAAGTTCTGAAATTTCTATAATTCTGAAATTTTCAGCAACTGATTCTTTGAGATTTTGAGAAATAGAGAATCGGAGATTCTGAAATGCTTAGTTTCTGAAGCTTTGAAATATCACAATTCTGCAATTTCGAGATTTTGAAAAAAAAATAGAAAATTCTCGTTCCGAAGTTTTGAGGATCATTGAGGATTTGAGGATTGAGGATTAGATCATTGACAATTTCAGGATATTTTTTTAAATTCAAGAATGTTCATATTTATGTATTCAGAAATTTTCAAATAAGTTGAATTCTAAATTTAACCCCTGAAAAATTGGAAAAGTTATGGAATTCAACATTCTAAGTAAATAAGAATCGCCATGAAAAAAATTCAGAAAACTCAAACATATTCTAAAACTGAAAAATGCTCAGAGATATTTCGGATAAATCGTATGATTATAATACAAAATGAACACACTTTTTCATTGTAGCAAAATGTTCATATTTGTGACGAGTTTTCAGCTATTTCTCAATAATGGGCGGAGCCTAAATCTGAAAGCCTAACACAAAAAAGGAACCACGAGATTCCAAACGTCAATCGACTGAAATCGAATTACCGACCGAAGAGAGCTCACTCCATTTTTTTTCTTTTTTTTTTCTAGAAAGTGGAGTAGGTGTGTGTTGCTCATGATAGTAATCCGATATATGACGGTCAAGTATTAAAGACAAGTCAAAAAAAAAAGGAGAAGAAAAGGTTAAGAAGGTCAAAGTAGGAAAAAACAAAAACAAATTTCGGAGATGTTCAATTCAATTTTTGGTCGAAAATAGAACTCATCTCATTTACAAAAAAGCATTTCCACATTCATAAATAACATCACAGATGTTTTATTTATAGTGCATTTGATCGGTGTTCAAAGGAAAATTTAATCCCGAAATGATCAAAATTTCAGATATTCAGAGATTGAGGGTTTTAGTGAATTACTGTGAATCCTGAAATAGAAGGGCTACCTAATTTTAGATTTGAGCCAATTTGTATCCGTTCCTGTGAAAAATATCAAATAAAACTTTGCTTTTGGATTGATTTACCTTTAATTTTTGTAACCTAAATCTGTTTCATGTAAACAAAAAAGGAATTCCGAAAATAAAAAAGTGCTAAAAGACGTAAAAACGAGGTCAAATATTGGAGAAGAAGAATGATTTTGGCGCCAACGACACGCGGAGAAAATTCAAAATGAGAAACAGTGAACAAACAAAAGAACAACTGATTGCATTCTTCTTACGTCTTCTATGATTTTCAGAAGACGTCCATGACAAACATAGAAGAAGAGAAAAAGAAGGACGGAAACGGAAAATGATAGGAGTAGTTAATGGTCTGGAAAATGATAAGAGAGAAAGGGGTCATTGACGTACATTAATATGAAAATGGAGTAGGAGGAACAGGAGCAATAACACAGGAGCACACCGTCCAAGTTTCGGGTCATGTGGGGAGGAAATAATGACGTTTTGGAAATTTTAATAAAATTATATCTAGGAGAAAATTTCAGAATTCAGAAATTCAGAAATTTCGTAAATCAGATATTTAGAAATTCGGGAATTCAGATTTTCAACTTTGGAGGTATCGAGAATATAAGATTACCAGATTAAAAAAAAGAGATTCTGAGATTCATAAACTCAAATATTCAGAAGTTCAGAAGTAAAACCTGAAAATCTAAATTTTTTAATTGTAAATTTTGGAAATTCAAAAATTCAGAAGTGTCGAATTTTTAAAAATAGTTTTTTTTCGAAAAAATCTGAAACTCAACAGTTTTAAAAGTCTAAAATTCTAATTTTCTAAAATTCTTAAAGTCTGAAAATTCGAAAATTCAAAAATCCTAAAATTCTAAAACTTTGAAAAACCCAAATTTCAAACTCCGATTTTCATCATTTTCTAGAAATTGTCAAAATTTCGAAAATCCATTTTGGTATTCACTTACAATCAAAGTTTTGGAAAATTGAACATTCTAATTTTTCAGAAAATTCATCAAATTTCAAAACATTCATGTACCTTTAAAATAAAAAGAATGACATCATTAATCAAATATCTTCGAAATCGGTGTCAGCTGTTGTATAGTAGTTTCTGAAACTTAATTACGGCGAAAGGTACGGACAAAAAAAACTTTGTCATCTTTTTTATGTGAAAGTAGATTTTTTTATGCTCATTGGTACAGAATATATAAAATCTTTGAATTTTGTAGGCGTCAAATTTTGAAAAATTTGGAGAATTCAGATGTGTCGAAATTCGAGTTTTGCTTTGATCAATGTATATCAAGAACACAGGTAAAATGCGAACGGGT